CAGGCAGAGGGGGTCTGTCTGTTCACTCAGAAAAGGTTTCAAGACAGACTTCGGGGCTTAACTTCCTAAAACACTGCCCCTTTCATTCATGGAAAAGGAATTAGGCCATGGAGCAGCACTGGCACAGCCCTGGGAAAACTGGCTCACGGGAGCGTCACAGGTAGTAAAGCATGAATCAGAAGAGGAACAATTAAATATTCAGACCTCAAATTGTTATTACCTAGTTGGCTGTTCAGAAAAGTCACCTTAGTATTCGTGTACTCCTCATATCCGACACAAAAGCCACAGGTGTAAAAGACATCGAGACCCCCGACACAGGTTTCTCATAAGACACAGAACATGAAAACACCCAAAAAGCCCCCCTAACACCTCCATGAACACACATCTCATATTTACGACTACGACTGCGACTGCCCAGGCAGCAAGCAGAGATAAATATCATGCTCAACTCCGTTCCTGAGGCAGAAAGGCGAAACGAGTCAGGACGCGAGGTTCTAAGGCAGCTGCCCTCCCTAACCTGCCGTCGGGCAAGGGAGGTTTCATGGTCGCTGCTCGGTGCCCTCCGTCGCGCCGCGGCCGGTTCGTGGGGGGCTTCCCCTCCTCGCAGCCCCTCGGCCGCCCCTGGCGGCTCCGAGCGCTCAGGGCGGCACAGCTCGCCCTCCCTGCGCGGGTGACCAGGCTCCGGACCCACCCCTCATCCCCCCAGCCCTACCTGTACGCCCAGTCCCGCCCGTCCTCTCGCCTGTCCATCGGCCGCCCGCGCTCGGCCCCCGGCGGGCGGGCGCTCCCCAGGCCGAGCAGCGCCGCGGCCGCGGCCCCGGACGGAGCTGCGGCTCCCAAGTTCAACTCTCCTGCCGCCTCCGAGGGGCGGGGGCGGCCGCCGGGTCCCGCCTCCCGTGCCCGGGGCCGGGCGCCGGGCAGGGCAGCTCCGCGCCCGCGGGGCTGGGTGGCGGCGGAGCGGCTTCCATCTGCTCGGGCTGCCCGGCGAGGAGGTACCGGTCTGGTTTTAGGTTTGTGTATTTCACATCTCCCTCGTCTTTGAAAAAAAATAAATTCTTTTTTTTTTGGAAAAAAACTCCAAATGTCTCACTAATACAGTGAGAGGGGCTTCAGGTACGGCCCTTCAAACCAAAGGAATTACCCCATAACCAGTGAGGAGAAATCACCCCAAATCATCACAATCGTCCTTTTAATTTCCTTCAATTATTCATTTAAGACAATGCTGTGTTATACAGAATCATGGAATATTCTGAGTTGGAAGGGACTCACAAGGATCATTGAAGTAAAACTCCCGGCCCTGCACAGGACAGCCCCAAGAATCACATCATATGCCTGAGAGTATCATCTGAACGCTTCTTGAAGGCTGTCGGGCTTGGTGCTGTGACCACTTCCCTGGGGAATTTGTTCCTGTGCCCTGACACCCTCTGGGTAAAGAACCTTTTTCTAATAAACCGAAGTATTACCAACTTTAGCTTCTGCTGATCAGTTTCCACCATAAACTAACATTCACATGAATATGATTTAAATAATAAATGGCAGGTTGTCAAAAATGTGGCGTGATAATACAGAAAATTGTACCCAAAAATTGGCTTCCCCATTTCTAGAACCCAGCTCTAAAACTATCACACTGCTCTTATCTTCAGAGGTGTAGAACAAAGCCCGAAACCCACAAGGACTCTGCCCTACCTGACTGCCAGCAGCTTAATTCATAACACACAGTGAAACAGAAGGGAGAGAGCAAAATTATATCCCTGCTTGTCCTTTCTGAATCAAGTCCTGACTTTGCACCCAGCAAAGTGCTTGGAAAATTACAGCTACTGCTGGAGAAACATTATCTTGTTCAGCCAGCAAGTAAGAGTTGCTGAAGACAACAGATGGGATTTCACAAGGGAGATCAACAGTTGTTTCAGCACACTCGTTGGAAGCTACCTTCTCCCTGTGGGATCAAAGGCAATCGCCCACACAGAAATGTAAAAGTAGCTCGACTCTAATGGCAGGGAAAAAAATATAGAGATTTGTACTTGGTTCAACTGCCACTGGAGTGCTGTAAAAGTTCGTGGTTGTTCAGCAAAACATAATTATTACCTTTTTTTGTGGGAAAATTCAGGCTTCTCCTGCTGGAGTGTGGTCCTGCTCAAATTACTGTGTGGCATCACAAACACGCTCGGGTACTGGCAGAACTGGAAACTGATTACAAACCAGCCCAGGCAGAGCTGGCCGGAGCCTGTGCCAAGCCTGTGCTTGACTTCCCGCCAGCATTGCCTTGGTGGAGCATAGGCAGAGGCAGGCTCTGCAAACAGCTCTGCCCCAGTGAATTGGTCACAGTCTCATAGAAAATCCTTGGCAGAGGTGTGAATAGGAGGCGATGTTTGTTGTCCCACAGAAGAGAAGAAGGAAGCCTCAGTTAACCAGAATATCTTCTCCCACAAATCCTGAAGCCACAGGCTTGTTTAGTAACAGGGTTATACTTCACCTGACAAGGTTAAGCTCTTTGGTGCATGTTCCTTTTAAAATGGATCCATCAGAGGTTTCCTGCAAACAGCAAATTGTTTCTGTGATTAATTAAGAGTACATCTGCAGTGCATCAAGGGTAGCCTTGTGTATACCACAGTACATTTTCACTGTCAGCAAGCCTCAAATGTTATATACAGTTTCTGTTGCTCTAACACTAGCAGAACAACTGAGTGGTTCACTCAGATTTATGCCTTTTACACACAAAGGCTCCCATTAAGTATACTTGGAATATTAATCGATTAATAAAAATAATTCTTAAATTTCAGCACAATAATTGGATCCCCATATTTTGTCTGATAATATGAGCCAGCCCACTGTCTGGCAAGAGATAATACCTTGGTTGTCCTTCACAGGGCATCAATGCTGCTCTCGTCTGGGCAAATGATATCATGTTGCTTTCAAAGGCATTCAAAGAAACTAATGCATAAACCCTCAAATCTGAAAACTGCATGTGCTTGATGTTGTGATCAGCAGAAAAGGATACTGTTTACTTTTAATCCTTTACTTCTGAAGGAGGTAGTGACAGTGGCAGACTGCAAGAGGGCAGACTTAGCTGACATTCAGACCAGTGAAGCTCACAGCCTTCCTACCTGCCACCTAGTGCAAAGGAAACTACTTTATATAACTTCTCCCTTACCACCCCCCCCCCTCTTTGCATCTGAACCTTATTCCTGAAGTTTTTATGTTATGATGAAAGTGTTTGGTAGAAATTCCCATCCTGCTGCTGCCAGAGTGACTCCTTAAAATAGTGACTTCCCTTTAAGGGTAGGCATTTAGATGTGTTCCTTGCAAAGGCAGATGAAGACAGCAGAGAGTGTTTCATGGGCTGAGGCATTCAAAGCTTTGCTTGTCTCATACCCTGTATTTTAATGAGCAAGGCTTCCCTTCTTAAGTTTGCAGAGCAGTTTATAAATAACAATACCAGGAAGATTTTCAGCCTTATCAGGAATTAGTCTGAAGTGTCTTCACACTTCCCAAGGCTGTGAAATGTGTGCTACAACACCTATGCTTGATGTATCATCAGTGCTGAAATGTAGTCCAGCTTCTCACATACCACCCCACAGCTGTTGTTACTTTTAGGCCACAAGTGGGGAAGGAGCATCAGGAGAAACTCCTCCATAATATTTGTGCTTGAAAGTATTTCTTCGGCTGCCTGTGGGGGCCATAAGGATTCTTTATCCATCCAAGAATGACAGAAATATATTTATTATTTTGTACATCATAAATGTGTTTAGAGTTTTTTTCCTGACGTTCTTTTTTTCCTGGCTCCAGGAAGGCCAAAGAATAGAACTTCGCAGAGGAAAGAAAAGTACTATAGGAGTGAGAAAGGATAAGGTGTACATGGCTATATTGTGCCTAATATTTTTAAAACAGCATGAGTGAATCTGTTCATTAAGAAATACCAGTGAGAAACACCATTTCCAGCCAAGGTAGCAGCTCTGCTTTTCCAGATCCAGACAATAAGTTTTAAAAAAAACCACCCCTAACTACTCACAAAATGGTTAATAGCCACTGTTTAGAAAACACAAATGCAGCAGCTCTGGAGAAGAGATAAAAAGATAATTTTTCTCGCTACTGACTGGGTGTTGTAGTTTCCTAAGTGAGGGATGAAATTCCCACATCATATGTGGCTTCCCTAGCTCATGTGATTTGCCATACAGCCACTAATCTTGGTGTCTGTACTTAGTAAACCTCAGCACCCAAGTATACCCTGCTTTGTTGGAGCTCAACTCTGCATCCATTTGGCTTGAGCTACTTTCCCATGACCTGAAATAAATCTGCTGCTCCATAGCTGGGGAGAACAGTTTCGATTAAGTGGATTTGGAGTACAGAATATCCAGTAAGAAGTAAACATATATGTATATATGTATATGCATATATATGTGTGTGTGTGCATGTGTGTATATATATATACATACCTATAAATATATATATTTTTCTATATTCTAACCTGGGCACAATGTGCTCCAGGACTAGACAATTCATCCATCTAATAAGGTTAAGGAATGCCACCATCACACCCAGACACATTTGCTTCCTGTTACAACCAGCTATCTACCAAGTTTAGTCAACCTTCTCCTATGTATGGATTGAGGCTCTCAATCCATAATGAAATGTAATGAAATGCTGAACTTGCTCCATATTTTTGTCCCAGAAAATTGCACCATGCTTACATAATTGTAGTCTGCAGGCTTGATTAGACCTGCTCATGTGAATTGCTCCAGCAGCAATCACTGAACTTTAGAACAGACTGCATAGCAAGAACAGAAATGTATTTTAAAAAGTTAAATTCCAATATTCCCTAAAGGCTTCACAGCTTCATGTCTATTAAGGTTACTAGCTGTTAGGACAAGTCACGAATCCATGTGTAGTCTGGGAACTGCCAGTATTTTGATTATCCTTGGTATGACTGTGGCCCTGGGAGTCAAAGCATAGTGATATGAGCATCTATAAAAAGGAGCACTAAAGCTTGCTACATACCACTGCAGCTGCCTGGAGAATCAGCATTACCCATGGAAATCTCTGCAGAGAGGTTTTTGTACTCGGCTGCCATCCTCCACCTGCATCAGAAAAGAAGGCTCAAGGCTGTAAGTGACAATACTGGAAACAGCAGGGACAGAGGAATGATATGGTAGTGCCCTCAGTGTGAAAAACATGGCAAAATTGTATGTCGAAAGTGATATGGAAAAAATACTTCAACATTATTAGCAGCAAGGGTTCCTAAGACAGGGACAAGGGTGTCCTTAGAAAAAGGTCAGTAGCTATCACAGAGTGGTAAACAAATGGTGTGGAACTGAGTAGACCAGATTCTGTGGTTCAGAGTGACTTGATGAATCTAGCTCAGGTCAGGCTGCAACTCTGTAAAATGTGTTTGTTGTTTCAACTGACAAAACAAAGTATTTTCTAGATGGCTTTATTCTATTTGTTTTATTTTCTCCTTATCTACTTGAATGATCTTGAGGGGTATGCTGAAAGCCCTTTAAATCATGCTGATGATGTTTACCTTATGAGTACAAGGCTTATAACTGAACTTTGAAATTTCCTAGGGAGAGATGACAGACAAGATTGGAGATTATTAACTCCTTACTTGTCCCATCCCCTTTTTCTTTCTTATCCCCAATTGTAAAAGTATCATGCATAGCAAATTTAGTAGCTCCAAGATCTACTGTTTAGAGATAGGGTTTAACCTGGCTAGGGTTCTCTGGCTGTCTGCTACAATTTCACATTTGGTCATAATTGAGAAAAGTGAATACAAACCTTCTCCTGGCCTTCACTTGCCTCTGCATTAGACTCCTGCAAGGAGTCTTACTTCAGTTGTCTCAAGTATCTCCTTCTGTAAAGAACAGGTGGAGTTATGATTACAGGTATTTACATACAATAAGTGCATGTAAATACATAGTGTTAGCTGTAAAGAACATTATCTGTTTCACTTAATTGTCTCTATACAGGGTTTCTCTAAAAATCATGCATTAAGGAAAAAAAATCCTTAAAGTAACAACATGGTTTGGTGTAAGAAGGTATAGCTACCCAGTCAGGAATAGACATCCATTTCTCTCATGGAATAAGGCAAGAGTTTTCTAGGAGCACAGATTTTAAGTTTATATAATTAAATACTATTTTATAATGCATACATAAAGGAGTACTGAGTTTAAGTCAGATCAGCACATTCCCTTTCTATAAATTCCCAGCTTTGGAGTGCTGAACTCTGCAAAGGTAGTGTGCTCCCAGGGAGGTTGTTCTTCACCATAGCTTTCTGTGTATTTATTCCCTATGCATTTTTCAAACTCACAGGATGAAAGAAAAATAAGAAGATCTGTGAAAACCTAAAACTGGGTTTAACAGCAATAGCAGCTGAAGCTTCTTGGAACTGAAAGGTTATAGCAACAGCCATCAGTACAGACATGCCTCAGTATTTACATGGGATCAAGATATCAGCTGAAGTATCGTGTTTTTAAATTCCTTTGAGAGGTAAGAAACTTTGATTGCAACATCTAGGATCAAATTATGCCTTTCTTCTGTCTTATTTTGTCAGATTAGAGATTATATAATATGACTAATACCAAGGAAAAATATCATTCTCATTTCGTTTTCATTCGTAATGTCCCCCAAATACTAATGCTCTCACAAACAAATACGTTGTCAAAATTGAAATAATTTAATTTAAATGTCCTTTTTCTTATTTCAGGTACTGCTGTCACTGTTCTTTCTTGTCTCAAAGTAATCAAATTAAAGAGGGAAGTGTAACACTGAAAACCATCAGTAACATTTTGGTATTTCCATGGTTTGCTGCATAATTAGTTACAAAAATAGTATGTTCTCTGCCAGCTGTTTGATTCTTTTTTCCATTTAAAGTGTAGCTCAGTTGTCAACAATTCAGCAGCTTCTTTTTTTTAACTGAGAAATTTTATTTTAGCTGTGTATGAATTTAAGAAAACCATAGAAGTTAATATGCTGTAATTATTCGTTGAGCCATAGCAGTCATTGGGTGAGATAGTGTTCCACATTTGTATTGCTTCTGCAACAGGTACCTTCTACTTCTGTGTTTTCTCATTTCTCTGCAACGTATTTTTCATGAATTATCTTCTCAGACAATCCAATTGTACCATTTTTATAATAATTTCCTTTTACATAACATCTTGTCACTGCCAGTCCTCCATGAGCAATTGCTTAATTTCCAAACACGGTCAAGTAAGCTTTACAACAATTATTATCTTTCCTGATCTATGCAAAGTATTTTTTTATATGGTTGCAAAAGTGCAATCGTTGTCTTATTAGATGCTGATGGAAAATTGTTGGTGAAAAATGGACTGTAGTCATAATCCACATGTAAATGCAAATTATCTCACCAAAATACATTAAGTAATAGTTAGAATTGACATTACAGTTTGCCTGCTGTGGACATGCCCTGATTCTCTGCCCCACTCAGTTACGGTTTAGCCCAACGATATCTACATATGATTACAACATTTAGCATTCCAAAGAATGACTCTGTAAGTATTTCCAGCTGCAATTCTCTTAAATATGCTGTTCTAGAAATCTCTATCAGACACAGGTTTTTGTATTTTGATGGCAGCAGAAATGGCCTTTGTAAAATTTGCTGAGAATTAGACTTTGAGAATTTAATGTTTCTTAATATGTGTGCCACAGATTAGGTTGTGTAAATGAATCACCTTTCAGCAAAGAAAGTTCAGATTTGATCCCACAGAAGTCACTGGGATGGAGGAGGGAAGGGGCTGAGTGTTTGTCCTGACTCTCCTAATAATTTTCAGTTCTTTGTTTCAGCCTGTCTTAGTCCCTGGGGTTCAAGCAGCTGTGGCAGTGCAGGATCAGAGGGAATGTGAGATGAGATGATTCTCCTCCACTGCGAAAAACTGTCACTCAGGCCTTCACCTAAGAAAAAAGGTGATTTCTCTCTCCAGCTCCAGTGCCCAGCTCTGAAATGAACCCAAGACTTGGAACCTTCCAAGGCTCAACAGAGAGTTGCCAAGCTGGAAAAAAAACACTGCTGGGAAACTCTAGCACTTCTCCTAGGCAGAAATATCCAGGAACCAGCTTGAAGGAACTGGCTGGCTCTCATAAAATACATTACATGTGGCTGTTCTGTCTCTCATATATCTTTGCTTGTGTTACAAAAAAATAGAGGTAGGGGCTGTATGTTAAAGCAGGCCAGATCATAAATGTGAAGGTATAGCCATAGTTTTACTCCGCAATTGAATAGTCTGGGAAAGTAAACAGAAGGAGATGCAAGTAGAACAAAAGCAAGCTCAGCCTTCCATCCAGTAGAAAAAAACCTGCTGGTGTGTTGGATATTGTACAGAACACCGCAGAATTTTCCCCTGCACATCATGGGATCAAATATACCTCACAGCTGAGTTGCAACTCTAGCACCTGTATGCAAGCTGAGAATCAAATGGTGAGACACCAGGAAGAAGGATACCTTGCTGAGAACTTCCTCAGATTCACCCAGTGCTTCAGACAAAAAAAAACAAAAAAAAAAGAAAGAAAGAAAGAGGGCACTATTTCTTGGAATTCCTCTTCTAGGACTCAGCTTTCAAAGTGCACCATCAGTATTTGTCAGCATGACTGGGACTTACTCTGTGTGGAAAAAACACTGGTGGCTCTTCTGATTGCACGGGATGTATTTGAGAGTACTGATGTGTGTTTACTACAGTGTGTGGTTAGCATTCACGGTGTTGTTTCTAGCACGAAACAAATACCAGGTTAGCAAGGTGTTTTATTTCCCACAGCAATGATAGTGTGTCCCTGACAATACTGTTCATATTCCTCCAGGGGAGAAAGTTAATGCTGCTCCTTGCAGTCAAGCTTATGTAGTGATAATAAACAGTACTTAAGAAATTCACAGTTGCTGTCAAGGGTCTTCACAAAGGGGTCATTTGTAATGAAACAAAAGACATATCTGGTGGACTGACTTCTGGAAAGAAAAAAACAATTAGATAACACATGAGAATCCATGGCTGGTTTTAGCTTTTCAATGGTCTGATTTGCTACTCGAGCACCCTTCAGTACCTTTTTTAAATACATCCCCCTATGCAGTTATTGGCTTTTGTGACTTGCACTTCCTTGACCCACATAGCTATCTTCAGTTGTCTGAGTACAGCCTGCATCTAACATTGCTTGCTAAACAATTTTGAAAACCAGTGGAGTAACATCAAATGGTATTCAAGAAATTTGCAGCAGATGATTGCAAGGAGCAAAGCTGTGAGCACTGAAATATTGATAATAAGGAAATGCAAGATGCTTATCTTGTCACTTTCATTTTAGCACTTACCTTTAATAAAAATATAAACCAAAGGCATCTTGGATCTCCTCCCTGAACAAACATACTTCAATACAGTAATTGAGTTGATAGTCTGTGCTATTAAAAATGGGTAAAAATAGTTTAGAAGAATGTGAAACAAAATCTGTCTTTGATGAGTGTGAGGAGAGATGAGGCAGAACACCACAGAGTTTCACTTCATCAGGGTTTTTGCAGCTCTAATTTGAACATGGCTATTTTTAGAAGACTTGTACATATCAACAACACTAATGACTGCCAACAGAGACAACCATGTTCTTAGAGCCAGCGGCATCGTGTGCAGCTCTCAGGATTTAACTAAAGCATGTTTTTGGCAAATAGTAATAAAAGTAATTAATTCTGTTTGTTTCCAACAAATTGAATTATGCTTTTATTTTACCTCTCTTTCCCTCTGGGAAATTAGTCCAGAGAGTAATTTAACAGCCTTTAGTTCTTACTATTTAATGTAGTGAATGTTTTTTCTACAAATTTCTGACTTGCGTGTGTGTGTGTGTGTGTATGTGTGTATTTGTATGTTGTGGATGGAAAGCATGACTTTCCCATTGCCTTAATTTTATTGCTATTCTTTGATCCTTCTAACACTTTGGGAAGCGAAACAATCCATACCAAGAAACTTGTCTGCCTCATTACTAAATGGTGAGAACAACACAGACCAAGACTCTGTAATCTCTGTCAGGGGACATGCAAACATGTTTGCTATACAAATCCACATTTGTAAGAGGGGCATCCTGAGCTGGCTCAGAATAAGGGAGCTATAGCAGGTCAATATTCCATGTGCCTTTGCCAAAGGCATCTTTCTTATAAGCATTTGTTATTAGCAAGCTGCTCACTCATAGATCTATCCACAGTGTCGAATGATAATATTCATAAGTGATAAAGCAGCCTTATTAGAAAAGTTTCTGACTAGCTATGGTGGCTGAGGAATGCAAGTTGAATGGCAAGCAATGGGGAGTCAGAGAGAGCACCTTGATCTATGCCTGCGGCAGAATAACAGCTAAAGAAATCATTGTGCAGGCATTATCAATGAATGTCAAAAGGGCTTTGAAGTAAATTGCAGAGGATTTGATTGCTGATCTCAGCAAAACACCATCTGGACCTTGTCAGCTGTGGAAAATGGAAAGAAAGAGCCAGAACCTACAAAATGCAGGGTATCCAGCTAGGCAAAGCTCTTTAGCTGTTGGTTTGTGCTCAGTGCCCTTTGCCAGCAGCATGCTCTTCTGAGCAGAAATCAAGATTTCGTCTGTTACCACTCAGCCTTTGCTGTGCATTTCTCCTGTACGGTAGGAAACCTCCACTCTTTTCGACCTCCACAGCTGCTTGCTATGGAGCGTCCCTGCAGCAGTCCTCAAGGCAGCTTCCGTCATGGCAGCAACCCTGCAGCACTGGATGTTGAATGAGCAGAGGGAAACCCACGGGCAGATACGCTCATGTATATGTCCAGGTTCGGGGACAGTGGTGGCTGAGCAAAGGTAGGCTGGTATTTATAGGAGGTTTCGAATCAGTGCATTACAGCACGTGACTCATCTGGTCATGAGGCCTGTAGAGACAATCATGAGGGCAGAGCTCAGCCCTGGTGCAAATATAACAGGCCTGTCTGTTATATTATGCAGAGGACCCGGCCCTCCTTACTGCCAGGTTCCTCCTGTAGCTGGGGTGGTAGCAGAGGAAAAAATCCCAAGGTATGGAGAGATAAATGGATACTGCCCCGGAGTACAGGAGGGGTGAAAACATCCCTCTCCCTGTCCTCCCCACCCCCAATATTTCAGTTGTTTGAGCACCAAATTGTCACCAACTTTGATATTTGCTGCCAGAGTGCAGTATATGGGTGCATCTGTGTAGCTGATCAAAATAGCACATTCAAAATCGTTTTTTTTTTTTAATGTCTCTGAGTGTTTTCTTTAAAAAAATAACAATGAAACTTCAGAAAGGAAAGATTACTACGTTACTGAAAACTCTGTTTGTTTTTGGGGTTTTCCCAGGATTTAATGAGCAGCTGCATGTTGGAAAGAAATTCTTTCTCCTGAGGCTCTTGGGAGGGCTCAGAAATCTTTATTGAAAAATAACTGGAAAATTTGACCCAGAGAGCAAGTTCTCTATGTTTCTTGGAAACTCATGATTCATGTTTCAGTCTCATTTTATGTCCCTTGAACAAGACAGAAATGTAAGGGGAGAATTAGGAAAGTGGAAAGGAAAAGCGGAAAGCCAGCAGTAGGGAAGCCAGCAATAGGAAATGTGTGTGTCACAGGATGAGCTTAACAGAGTTTCCACACGGGCAGTCAGGGAAAAACATGTATTCTTGTGTTAAAAGTACGCTTTTCAACATCATCTTTTTACTTTTGTGAAGTATTCATATTTTTTCTTTTGTGAATTGGTGAAGGAGCCCAGATGAGTTCAAATCACAGATATGGATTTTGAAAAACAGGTATGGAAAACATATTTTCCTAGAAGTATGTGATGATTCAGTGGGGCCCAGACTCAATATTTTATAACTCTTTGGAGAATTTCACTCATGGTGGCACGGAGATCAGTAATACTGCAAGTCATTGCTTGAGTCTTAGTCTTGGACTGTTTTGTGGGACCTTCAGAGTCAGTCGATATGGGTATCTCTTAATGCATGTCTGTGTATTACTTAAGACCATAGAGGGGACAAGAAAATGATAGGATTATCATCCTATATTATTACTTCACCTCCTGGAAGAGCAGTCTTAATGATTTTGTGCTGTGGACTGTGGCTGCTGCTGAAATGGGTAGTGAAGGACCCTGTTTCCATTGCAAATGGTAATATTTAATGATCAGCGAAAGTACTGATATTAACATCTTCAGGGCAATATCCTCATGCCTGGTAAACAGCTGGTCATGCACAAAAAATAAAGCATTGTTGGAGAGCTGTTAGAGAGGGTGAAGAGTTAACTGTTAGCTATCATCTTCAGACAGAATTTGTTTTTCAGATTCCCTTAAGGACGCAGGCTTTTTCCTCATCTTGTCTGCAAACAGCCACGTCTCCAAATGGCAAACTCGCCATCTGCAGGCCAGCGAGACAACTCGCAGGCGCCGGGGAAGAAAAAGCCCCTCAAAGATCAGGGACACTCAGGTACACTTCCTTATGGTGGTCTTAGGATTTCCTTCTCTTTTATGCACCAGTTAGCAAATGGAAATCACCCTCTGGGTGCTATCCCAAAGAAGTTGGAGTGTCTGTCTCTGGAGATTAATCCTATCCCAGTTGATTGCTTTAAAAATGTAAAAAAAATTAGCCTTGATATTCTTCTGCAGCAGGCTTCTTCTACCCTTGCTAGCTCATGCCTGGTCTCAGCTGTAAGGAGAGAGCACAGCTTCCCAGCCCAGGCCTTAACACCCTCCCCCAGCTACTAGAAATCAGCACTGTTTTCCCCCATGAAACATGGTTTTGATTAGAACATACTGTTTCTTAAGCATATTTTTGCCATGAGAACATGTTTTATTTTTTAAAGATACTAAAACATGGTGTTTCAGGAAGTTTGAGCTTTCTTTGTCAGGCTGGAGGAACATTATCGGAATGCATTTTTCTATTTGAAATAAATTTTAAGGAGAACATTCACCTTATTTCAGTGGTTATTTTGTAGTGCTCTCGAATCACAGCTGCATCCAATTAACCATAAAAAGTCAAACCCTAAAGAAAATGTTTAATTTTTATAGTATTGCTTCCATTCAAAACTCAAAAAAACCCCCAAAAGGAGACTGAGACAACCTCAGTTTCACCCTATTTTGAATAAAAGCTATCTCTAAGCTGCTGAAAGGAAAACACACATAATCTAGCTCCTCCAGCAACAGAAGGGTTTGAAAGCACCCCAGAGAAACCTGAGAAATCTGCAGCCCTGCCTTTGCCAGTCCTATAAGCCATGTCCTAAATACCATCATATGGCACCCTAATGAGAAACACAGAGCCTTGTTAGTGCTATGTCTCCTGCCTGTAATGTACCACTCATTTGGCCCTGCTAGTCCTAGCAACTGTGGGTGAGATTCATGCCTATCTTCCATGGCCTCCTTTGGCTCTTACCAGAGGTTTTGTTGTGGTCTTGTCCCACCTGGAGCTTCTGCTGTGGAGAAAGCTGCTCTGTTGCCATAGGATACAAGGAGGGCAACCACCACACAAGGGGCTGCCTAGCAAACCTACCAAAGCTTTGGGGTCCTGTTGTTTCTGATTGACTTAATACATTCTTACAATCCTTCATCAGTCACAAAACATTCCAAATGGAATTTTAACCATCTTCGTGGAGGCTGTGGTCATCTTATGATCTTCAGAAGTGAAGCTGAACTTTTCAACCGCTGGAACTGGGTAATTATCTCATTGTACTTTGGGTCCTGAGATTTGCAAAGAAATGATTTTTCATTTAAATCTGGATTTCTAATGGAGAAAACATAAAGAAAGACCTGATTTTGCATTTCAGTTTGTCTAGAGCTGGGCACTAGTGGTGTACATCGGAGAGCAATGTCCACTTATTTTAGAAAGATATTTAAAGAAGTCATTGAACCAATTTTTTAGTTTATAACTAAGCCTCAGTGTTAGCTTGCTTGAAAGGGAAGCAGAGAAGCACCTAGAGCTTGTGCCTGTGCCACGTGTTTGCTTCCAGGTGAATTCTGAAAACGAGGGACTGAGATTAATAGAAAATAATAAATGTAATATTCAGACTGAGTTTTCACATCGCTGTGAAACTCCAGGTTAGCTCTCTTGGTTACAGTCAGAAGGGGAGTACATCCCTGGTAGTACACTTGTTGCAGGCTGCCATGACCCAAAGAACTTATGTGTATAAAGACAGGCACCAAGGTGAAGGAAAAAGTAATTCATTCCCCTTATGCAGATGGAGAAGGAAGGCATAGACTGAAGATGATTCTTTTGACATCAGAAAACCTTACTGCTTTGGGAGGGCAAAATCAAGACTTGACTATATTTTCATTATATTTTCTTAGGAACAGGTTGTGCTGAAGTGTTTGCTTCCATGTGGTGCTTATACAAGTCTGTTTCTTCTAATTCTTAGTTACATTCAGCATCATACTCGCTCAAGCTGAGAATTGTGTTCCCACAGAATTTAAACAGACTCTGTACCTTTTTCAATCATGGGTTGTACAAGTCTGTGAAGAGAAATTACCAAAGGAACATCAAAAGTCCCCAAGCATCTGCTGATGTTAGTTCAGGTAATAATAGGGGAATGTTACTACCAATAATAATATCTTCAGATGGGGCAAGGTGAACCCACAGCAAGATCCTTCTCTTCCCTTCACTGTTATTTGTGGAAGCAGAAGAAAGGTCCAGGGAAAGTGTTAGGGGTCTCCCCAGGATTTGCTTCTCACAGGCTAGCCCTGGGTTTGCCTGACTACTCTGG